AGGGTCGCCTTCCCCTCAATCAATCAATCAATCAAAAGAGAGAAAGAGCGTTGCGGTTTGGTGGGGGGGGGGGGTGTCCCGTTTCCGATTTTCCCCTGTAAGATTTCAAAAATTGGGGGAAAAAAAAGCCCCCCCCCCCCCCCCCCCCCACCCCCATCACCACCCACCCCTTCCGCCGTACCGCGCAGGGTTCCCCGGGACGGTCACCGCGGTGCACGACGACGGTACGTGCGACATCTTTTACGAGGACGACGGCGAGACCGAGGAGCGCGTCGCGCCTCGCTTCGTCAAGGTTCTGAGCGACGCCGCCGCGCGCGCCACGGCAGAGGAGCAGGCTCGACCCGAGCCCATGCCGCAGGCAAAGCTTCCGCAGGGTTCGATCGGCGGCGCCACCCCCGCGGTATCGCCAGCGGCGCCAGCAGCGGCGGCGGGAGCCGAGCCGGCGGACCACCCCGCCCAGAGACCGGCTCAGCGCCGCCGGCGAAGCAAGCGGAGTCTCTCGGAGGCAGGCATGGCGGAGGCGGCGGCGGAGGCGGGCATGGCGGAGGCGGGCATGGCGGAGGCGGGCATGGCGGAGGCGGGCATGGCGGAGGCGGGCATGGCGGAGGCGGGCATGGCGGAGGCGGGCATGGAGGAGGCGGCGGCGGTGGCGGCAGGGGCTGCGCCTTGTGCGCCTTCGGCGGTGGCGGCAGAGGCGAAGGGGCTGCGGCTGCACCTCTCCAGCAGCAGCAGTACCGGCTACAAGGGCGTGTACGAGCACTCTGGCCGCTTCCAGGCGCATCGCAAGGTGGACGGTAGGATTTTCCAGGTCGGCTCCTTCGACACGGCGGTGGAGGCGGCGGTAGCGTACGCGCGGGCGGTCGGCGAGTACCAGCCTCCGGCTCCTCCGACGGTGGCGGCAGAGGCGGAGGGGCTGCGGCTGCACCTCTCTAGCAGCACCAGCACCGGCTACAAGGGCGTGTTCCAGCACGCCTCTGGCCGCTTCCAAGCGTACCAGTACGGGGTGGACGGCAGGAAGGTCCACGTCGGCTCCTTCAACACGGCGGTGGAGGCGGCGGCGGCGTACGCGCGGGCGGAGCCCGCTCGCGAGGGCGGCGAGTGCCTCGCGTGCCTCGGCAAGCACCGACCACACACGTGCGGCAGGGTGCTCGGCGCTCGCAAAGCAGGCGGCGGCAAGGCGCCGCTCGCTGCCTCCGAGGCGGCGCTGTGCAGCCAGCTCGAGCGGTGCAGAGCGGCGCTTGGTGGCGCCGCCCTCGCCGCCGGCGAAGCAGCTCTGTGCGAGGTGCTCGAGATGGCCCGTCGCGCGGTGCCCGACGCGGGCCTCGCAGGCGGCCTCCGCGCGCTGCTGCTGCTCGGCCCGGTGCAGGCGCAGCTGCTGCAGGCGGTCGAGGCTGCCGCCGCGGCCCTGGCGCTCGACCCTCCGTTGCGGGCGGGTCCGCAGCTGACGAGCGGCGTCAGCCAGGTCCTCGCCATGCCCGACGCGGCGCTCGCCCCTCCCGCTCGCGCCGGCCTCGCACACCTCCATGCTCGGCTCGGCGCGGCGGCAGAGCAGGCGGCAGAGCAAACAGACGTGCGCGCTCCGCGCGACGACGTCTCGGCGATCCCCGGCGCGGGAAGGGGAGGGGGCGAGGGCAAGGGGGGTGGCGGCAAGGGGAGTGAGACGCGCCGGGCAGCGCCCACCCGCGGCGCCGACTCCACTTCGCTCGCGCCCGCGTCGGACTCGCGGTTGGCGGCGCAGGCTGCACCGGAGGCGGCGGAGGCGGTGGCGGCGCAGGCTCAGGGCGCGGCGGCGAAGGGCGCGGCGCAGCTGGTGGCGGCCTGCACGGAGCCCGAGGCGGAGGCGGAGGAGGCGGAGGCCGCAGGCTTAACCTCGTCGCCGCCTCCGACCGCACCGCCGACGCCAGGGGGGGCTGCACCCGTCGCCGCAGCCGCGCCGCTCGCGGCGGAGGCGGTCGTGGCGGAGGCGGAGGGGCTGAAGCTGCACCTCTCGAGCAGCGGCAGCACCGGCTACAAGGGCGTGCGCGAGCATGTCTCTGGCCGCTTCGAGGTGCGGCACATGGCGAACGGGCGGCGGGTCAACCTCGGCACCTTCGACACGGCGGTGGAGGGGGCGGTGGCGTATGCGCGGGCGGTCGGCGAGTATCAGCCTCCGCCTCCTCCGACGGTGGCGACGGAGGCGGAGGGCTTGCGTTTGCACCTCTCGAGCAGCAGCGCCACCGGCTACTTGGGCGTTTTCAAGCAGCCCTGGGGCCGCTTCCGGGCGCAGCACAAGGTGGACGGAAGGCAGGTCGACCTCGGCTACTTCGAAACGGCGGTGGAGGCGGCGGCGGCTTACGCGCGGGCGGTCGGCGAGGCGGAGGCGGCTGGCGCGGGAGGGCCGGCGCGGGCCGCAGCGGCGGCGGAGGCGGCGGAGGGCTCGGAGGCGATGGAGGTGGAGCCGGAGCCGGAGCCCGATGCGGCGGCGGAGGCGGGGTCGGAGGCGGCGGCGGCGGGGCAGCCGAGGCGGCCACCGAAGCGTCGTCGCACCTCGGCTGCAACCTCGTCGCCGCCTCCGACCGCACCGCCGACGCCAGGGGGGGCTGCACCCGTCGCCGCAGCCGCGCCGCTCGCGGCGGAGGCGGTCGTGGCGGAGGCGGAGGGGCTGAAGCTGCACCTCTCGAGCAGCAGCGCCACCGGCTACAAGGGAGTGCGCGAGCTCTCTGGCCGCTTCGAGGTGCGGCACACAGCGAACGGGCGGCAGGTCTCCCTCGGCACCTTCGACACGGCGGTGGGGGCGGCGGTGGCGTACGCGCGGGCGGTCGGCGAGCCTCCCCCTCCTCCTCCAACTGTTTTTCCGATGGTGGCGGCAGAGGTGGAGGGCTTGCGCTTGCACCTCTCGAGCAGCAGCGCCACCGGCTACAGGGGCGTGAACGAGCTCGCCTCTGGCCGCTTCCGGGCGCAGGGGAAGGTGGGCGGGCGGGCGGTCTCCCTCGGCACCTTCGACACGGCGGTGGAGGCGGCGGTGGCGTACGCGCGGGCGTTCGGCGCTGCCGGCGGCAGCAGCACGAGTGGCGGCGGCGTCTCCGAGGACGTCATGCTGGCGGCGGCTGCGGCGGCGGCCGATCCGGAAGAGATCGTCACGACGATCGTGTGCGACGGCTGCGAGGCGGAGTTTGAGCTGCTGCCCGGCGAGCTCGTCCCAGATGGCGACTGGTTCTGCGCGGCGTGCAAGCCCGCTCAGCTGCAGGGAATCGCGGCGGAGGCGGACGACACCGCGCTCGGAGTCCCTCAGTTTGGGACGGCTCCCAGGTCGTCCGGCACCCCCCCCAGCACTTCCTCCTCAGGCATTTGGTCCTGGCATTTTTTCCCCTCCTCCTCCTCCTCACCTCCCGCTTTTTCAACCCCCCCCCCCCCCTCCCTCAAAAAGGCGTGCGCCAGCAAGGCGTGCCGGCTTTGAGCCAGGCATGCATTCGGGCATGGACCCGGGCCAGTGCGAGCGGAACCCGCGCTGCACCCGCGGGTACAAGCACGGCGGGCTCGGCGGCCACTGCCGCCTCTGGCGGCGCGACACGAGCGACGGCCGAGCTCCTGCGCGGCGTGACGGCGGCCTGCAGGGCGGACGCCTTGTCCGAACCTTCCCCCGAACTTTGCTGTAGGCGTCGTGGAGCCGGTGATGGGGGCGGGCGAGGCGGGCTGGGCAGCGTCCGCCTTCCCGCGCGTGTCGGGCGCGCTCGAGTCGATCGGCATCTCGCTCGCGAGGCAAGCCGCCGAGCTGAGCGATGTCGCAGGAGCCGACCTCGCCTTTTTGGGACACATGAGCCACGCGCAGCTCCGAGCATTGGGCGAGGAGTGCATGGCGCTGCCCGAGAGCGCCCGTGGCGACTTCGTCCGCGAGCTGGTGTGGCGGCGCTGCCAGGACAGAGGCGGCGCGTCGGCTGGCCAAGAGCCGAGCGCGTTTGGCGGGCCGCCTCCGCCGCCGCCTCCGCCGCCGCCACTCCAACCGGCGCCGCTTTCGCTTCCGCCGCCGCCTCTTCCTCCGCCGCCGCTTCGACATCCGCCGCCGCCATTCCAGATGGGCGCCGTTCAGATTGCCGTCCCGCTGGCGCTGCCATTTGCTGGCCAGCCCCAATATTGGAATGCCCAGCAGCTAGCACACGCCCAGGTGCAGGCCCAGCTGGCCCAGCTGCGGTGCCACCAGTCTCTCGTTCAGTGGCAACAGCAGCAGCACGCAATAGCAGAGTAGGTTGCGCAGAAAACACCGCAGAGCTTTCTTCCACTGTCTTGGTTACCATCTTGTTGTGTACAAACCAGGAAACCTCTCTCTCTGCATGCGCGAGCAATGGTCTATCTGTGTTGACGCTGTGCTCTCCCGCACGTCCCAAGCAGCGTGCAAGTTATACACACACCACACACCACACACACACTCACACACGCCTCTCGCGCTGACCCATCATGCACCGGTGCTCCAGAACTAAGCAGAGCCGCCGCGCCCCGCGCCCCGCCTGCCCCGCCCGCCCCATCCACGCCCACCGCGCCCCCCTCTCCCCCCCCGCCTACCGACCGCCTCCGTGCCGCCCACGGGCTGAGCCTGGGGCACGGTGCGCGAGGGCGGCTGGTGGACAAACGTCGCCTGCTCCGCCACCAGCCGCCCAGTTGCGGCGATGGGCAGCGCCGGCTGGCGGCAAGCCGGGCAGTTGGTGTCGCGCTCCAGCACGCGCGGCGCACATGTCTCGCAGTACAGCGCGTGGCCGCACGCGAAGCGGACCGAGCGCGGCGCGTCGTAGCAGAGGTCACACTGGCGCCCCTCGGCCCCAGCCGTCTCCTCCACCTCCCCCGCCGCCTCGACTAGCGCCTCCAGCCGCGGCAGCGCGTCTGCGAGCGGCATCCGCTTCTTCTTCCGCTCGTACGCCAGCCCGACCACCAGCCTCGTCAGCTCCTCGGCCTGCGCCGCCGACCAGCCCGCGTCGGCCGCCGCGATGCTCTCCGCCGTGTCGGGCTCCTCCAGCGCATCGTCGCACGCGTTGAGCAAGCCGAGAGCGCCGCGGCCCGTCAGGCTGACGAAAAGCGTGATGCCGAGCGCAAAGCCATCGGTGAGCTGCGAAGCCTGACCGTCGTGCGTTATGATCGAGTCCATGTAGCCGGGCTTCCCAAAGATACGCTGCGTCGACAGGTGCGAGACCTGCTGGCTGCCGCCGGCCGTCGCCTCTGCCGCGCGCGCGAGGCCCACGTCGGCGAGGTAGCCGTTGCCGCGCTCGTCGAGCAGGATGTTGCCCGCCGAGACGTCGCGGTGCAGGATCATCGGAGAGCGCGTGTGCAAGTAATGCAGCGCGCTGGCGGCGTCGCGCAGCACGCGGAGCCGTGCGGCGGAGGAGAGCGGCGGAGGCGGCGTCTCGAAGCCGAGCATGCGGAGCCGCTGCAGCGCGGCTGGAGCGCGGTAGAGGCGGTCCTCGAGGCTGCCGCCGCGGCAGAGGGGGTAGACGAGGCACGCTCTCGCCGGCGCCAAGCAGACGCCGAGCAGAGGAAGCAAGGACCGGTGGCACGCCGCGCTGAGCGTTCGCACCTCGCTCTGCAGCTCGGCGAGGCCTTGGGCGCCGACACCGACCAGCGCCGTCTTGACGGCGAACCCGCAAGCGACGCGCGGAAGCGACGGCAGCGCATCGCAGCGGTAGACACGCCCGAAGCCGCCCTCGCCCACCTTGCGCGCCTCGGCAAAGCCGTCGGTCGCCGCGATGAGCTCGTCGAGAGGGACGGCCGCCGGGGCGCCCCCGCCG